TGAGATAAAAGGACTGGTGAGAAGAAGTATTTCTCTGGATGAAATCGCAGGAATCGTTAAAGCGTTTTCTTCTGCATTGATATGTGCAACACCTGAATCAATTTTGGAGAATTTTGCTTCTGTGATGGCTATTTCTTGGGATTTATATGGAACATCATTCTCATTTTTACAGTCCATCGTCTTTCTAGAGGAAAACTTCCTCGGAAACCTTTCAAAGCTATCACCTGACTTATTTGTGAGAGGTTTAGAACTTACTAGGTCAAGGAATCTCCGTGAAGGAATAGTAGATAGTGAGATTGATTTTGCTGACTACTCATCCGTAACTGAAGCAATCAAAAGTAAGATGGAGATTCGTGATATTTATTCTTCTGCCTTGTCTATGTTCTTCGAGCAGGCTCCTTTTCCAGTATTACTTAACGAAATTATGAGCATGGATATATCTTGCGTGCCAGAGTTTCCAAGATTAGCAGAGCTACTGCTGCAAGTTTGGCAACCTAAAAGTGATAGTATTGAATCAGATATCCGATTAATACTATTCTGGCTCTTCCAAATACGATCATCTTACAAGATTCAACCAGCTTCGGTACTCTGTCGACTCTCTGAGATCTGCTTACGTCTCTTGAAGCACTTGTTCTCGCAAATATCAGAACGGGGCTTTGTTTCTGGACCTTCTTCAGATAAGTTGGTTGCTCCTTTTGCAAAGTGGAAGCATCAAGTGGCCCAGACAGTTCTTTGCCATCCAGTTGTGATGGCACTGTTGGAGAGTCCCTTGGATTGTGGCACATTACCTCCAGTGCATAATGTTAAGATTTTTTCAGAAACGTCGCTGACGACGAGCAGGCTAGTTATTTGTGAAATAGATCAACACATCCTTGATCTATTGGTTTCTATTTGTGAGCACTTTTTGTTTGATGAGAGACACATTGTGCAGGAAGGAGATCTCAGGGAAAATAAGTCAAGTACGGTTTTTAAGGACTTGGTGCAAAGGCTTCTTTTGTTATTCAGAGACAAGTTTGAGCTTTGTGTTGGTTCTCAAAGTTACGCTCCGCTTCTCCAACCATCACAATTAATTCATGCGTTGTTGAGATTTATTTCACCTTTCAAAATTTTAGAGCTAGCCCGTTCCATGCTGAGTAAAATTGATGAGGAAGAATTGGCTAGCCCAAATTCGAGTATGATTATCAGTTTGGGATTGGATATTGCTGGCGGAGCTTTTGAAATGCTTATATCTTATTCACACCTGCCGGCTGCTAAGAGAGGGTTATATGATTTGCTGTGGGAATTAAAAGAAGAGAATTATGACAGTATACTCATTGAGGAAGTCTATAGCATGGCATGCAGGTTTTCTACCTCTTTTGGTTTGGTTTCGGCAGATACTTGTTTGCTTAAAGTTGGGAGCAGCATTTTCAGGGGGAAACATAATCGGCATTGCAATGTTCATCCATTGACCGTGATAATTTCACAGATTGTTGGGAGAACTCCTAAAGACTTGATTATCCATTATATTAACCAGCCAAGCATGACCAGAGCCAAGATATTGTTCTATCTTGTGGAGTCCAGTCCCTTGCATCTGTCAGTCTTTGGACACTCTTTCTTTAGTATGCTAA